TGCAATATCGTGATAATATCGTATCGTGACCCAAGTATCGCGACATGTATCGAATCGCAACACTCATGCCAATACTCACCTCTAGTGTGGAGTGTTGTCAGGACTGCAATGCGTTGTCAGTGTGTAACAACTGCTTATTCTGAGTTTGTTGATTAGGTTTATATTAGAGGTTTACAACCTAATGGTCTTCGATTCGACATCATATTGTTAGTAAGGAACCACAGTTTTATAACCGTTAATGATCATCTAAGTGTTGGTGGACACTACTGTGTATTTTGAGAAATAATCAAGAGACTTGAGTTGCTTCCCTGTGAGCCCTTCCAGAGAGCAATTTACTAAGCAAATGGGGCAACTTTGTTAAAATCTTGACTGTTCTCTCATGATATCATATGTGCCTAAATTCAGAATAATAATGTCTGTTTAAACTCTAAACATACAAATACTGATGCTACGTATACCACATTCTCAACAAGTAAATAGCTCTGAGGTCATTCCCAGTTGTCTATGCAAACTGACTGTATTGTTGCACACCGTGATTCTATGTCTGTTTATTAAACATTTATTTATCCCAGTATATATATATATATTTTTTTTATATTTCAGAGTTGGCCCAACATATTATTGTCTGTTAGGAGGTACATTTGGGTTAATCAGCAGTAAAGTGACAGGCGGGAAACGGGCACTCCTGTGTTCACCTAAAATGCTGCTGTCTATCACTGAAGGAGCTCTCTGGTCTCCAACATCTTTATCCATCATCCGTTGCAGAAGGGGGGAGCTCCTTTGTCTGAGCTCGAAGGGGGTATTTATGTTCCTTTGATGCTGCTGTACAAGAGCAGAAGTCCACTATGACCCTCTAACCTCTCTTTTCTGTTTCCTCTCCTGTAGATAAGCAAGCAAAACCTGGACAGACCGTCATTCTGCCGTGTAAAACTGCTGACAGCCAACCTGCTCTAGCTGTGGAGTGGAGGAGATCTGATCTGGAGTCAGAATATGTTCTTCTGTTCAGAGATGATCGGACAGATGCAGGAAACCAGCATCCATCCTATAAGAACCGGACAGATCTTCAAGACAGACAGATGAAGAATGGAGACGTGTCTTTGGTTCTGAAGAACGTGACGACTAATGATACTGGAACATATGAATGTAAAGTCCAGAATGAAGAAAGTCGTAGAATAAAACTTATCGTCCAGGTAGATGTTCCTCCTTCCCCAGGTGAGTGTTTTCCTGTAAGGCAAAACTTTTTAGATCTAATCTGGTCCACGCTATTGTTATTATTATTATTATTTTTTTTTTTCAGAAAATAACAAAGGATCCATCGGACTCATCATTGGTCTGGTCATACTGGGTCTTGTTGCTGCTGGCGTATTCTATCTTTTTTATAAAAAGAAACAATTGTGCTTTAAGAATCCAAATCCTCCTCTAGATTCAGTATGAATGCCCTAAATCTGTGGACATCATTTGCATCAGTTATTCTTGCTCTCTGTTGTTTTCCAATTGATATATTGTTAAATAACTAATAAGTAATGAATGTCTGTTACCTCTCTTAATGTTAATTATTCCTTTCTTTTTCATTGTTTTAATAATTGAAGCAGCTCATTATTCTGTATTAGTTGTTGATTATTGCAAAATAGCCATACTTCAACAATGAATGATGAAAGGAGTTTAGAAGGTCAACCGAGATTTAAGGACATTTATTCCATGATAAATTTAAAACTCAGATGCTTAATAATCAAAATGTTTCTAGTTAAAACATCTTAGCTCCCAGACATTTAGCTGAGGCCCATACCACAAAGTGAGCCCAACTGATACCACAATTGCATCATATTAATACTGTGATAATCATTTATACACTAGTCAGTCTGGTTGAAATCATCCTGATTTCTGAGCTGTCAGAACTTTTTTTATATTACCTGGTGGCTAAACATAAATCCCGCATCGGAGCAGCTTCAGCGTAGCATTTACCCCTCTCATTTATACTGTTACAGCAAACATGAAAAATTTTATATACTTGTATATTTAGCAGCCTGATTTTTATAATGTAATATATTTGCCATTTCAGAGAAATGCAGGTATTTACTGACCTGCAATGGCATAAAATCCTTCTGTAAGAGACTGTGTTCAGGCAAGTGGCTCAGCATTCCGGCTTACATTAAGCTGTCTTTTGCATTATATGTCATAATGTCACAATTAGGAACATATTCCTGCATGTCCCACAAGCAATACAAGGTTACTCATCATTTCACGTATTTATTAATGAGCAAAGACAAAAGCTAACAGGATGGACTGCATGCTACGCTATGCTATACAGAAATGTGTTGAGCTGTTGTTGAAGCTTGGACAAGCGTAAATTCACTAAGGGTTAAACACTGATATAACATTAATGTTCATGTGTTGCTCATTTGCTCAATACATTTCAATGAACAAGTGAGACGAAGAGTCATTTAGTGGAATCCTCATGTCTATTCGCTGCTAGCTATTTAAAAGAGGGTAAAAATCATTTAACTAAAGGTTTTTGGTTCTTGATTAAGCTAATCATTTAATAAAACATTATTTGGCCAAATAATGTTTTATTCACCTCATGGATTTGCATTGTGAATTGGTC